AACAGACTGCATCACTTTAGTTCAATTACTTTAGTCTGGCAACAAACAAGCTCCATATTGAATTGATGTTTTGTATGTGAATATCAACAATAATGCATAATTCTATAATCTGATCATAACTATTTTGGAGAATCAATAGACCAAGGGTGTCAACAAGGTTTAACATGAAGAGAACAGTGCTGAAGTTGGATGGATGACACTGTGAACGATCTTAAATTGGATGTTGAGTATACTTTTCCCTCATCTCCAATTTTAAATATTTAAGGCTGCAGTTATAAATATATTAATCCTGCTATTTGCCCTGGAACTGTGTGGGCTTATTGAGCTCTATAGATTTTAAAGAATGTCTTCTAATTAACAGCAAATGACTGATGAAACACTTGCTGTGAGCTAAAATTATGTTTATATTTTCATGCAGTTTGTGGGAGCTTCAACTAGAGGACGTGGCTGACTGCAATCTTTTGAATTGTGCTTTATTTGGACATGGGTCTATATTATTCTTTCTGTTGTGAAAACATAACCGCTTGGTTATGTTTACATGGGGGGCAAAAGAGGACAAAGAGAGTACAAATCTCAGGATCTTCAATTAATTTAATTATGAATATGATTTTACCCTTTTTATGGTTTGCTCAACCATTTGGTCGATCACTCTTTGAGTCACTATATCTACTTGAAGCTTGGCACTGAAATATCCCTCTTTGGGGCATCTCACTTGACACTTTTTACCATCAAACTGCATCTCAACCATTTGATAAAGGCATATAAAGAATTGAGAAAGCATGGTCATAGGGTTAATAATAACAGTTAATGCATCCAATTGCATATATACTTATTATTTCTTTGTCTTATTGTGCCAATTTGATTTTCACACCTCAAAATAACCTTGCTACATGTTTTCCAAGAGACAGCTGCCTATTGGACCCTTGTCTATTTTAAGCTACATACAGCCTGAATCCACACTGAAAACAAATCAATGTTTTTTAGAATGCTGGAATATAATCCAATAGCTCTGCGTGTCTGCTGCTTGTTCTGGCCATAACAGTAGAAAAAGCCCCCGATCTCACGGCTGTGGAGGGAGTGTGTTTATGAGTGCTTTTTGAAGAGTGAAGCAGCATTAGTCTGTGCTGTGTGGAGGAGATGGAGATGGGCTGTGCATCCGCTTACGCACATTATCACACCGAGCCTGCTGCTTCTTGGCTTCCCTTCACAAAGGCCGGTACACAGGGTCAGCAGAGTGGGAATGAGAGGTGTACACTCTAGTCCACCCGCACATGCTTCAGCCAGGCAGCCATCAAGCACTTTCTCTCTGTGAAAGGTGCTGTAAATATTTTCATACTCTTTATTTTACCCCGTTTCAGTTGTCAGTGATGTAGTCCATGATGGTCTGTGTAGCTCATGCACCTTCACCATGCTACATACAGTACGCACAGAACTATGGAGTGCAGAAAGTTGTTTGTGTAGTGTTGTGGAATTAGTCCAACTCTTTTGCCGAACTGTCGGTATTAGAATAGTGTGAAAGGGCCACAGTGACGCAGATAAAAACAATAGTCGAGTGCAGACCTCTACCTTGACGGGCAGTTCCATAAAAATCCTGCATCCATACAGTGATTCAGATCAGTTGTTCAATGGGCCATTATGCAGATTTCCTGAAAATGTTGTCCAAACTGTCCCATGACTTATGGTCTCCTCACCGACGAACACACAGAAAACACTGTTGATCACTTTAAGACCTGTTGATTAAGGCTTAATGGGTGCATTAGAAAAAAAACATCTCTACATCTTTACAATAGAAAAAGCGAATGACCATAACTTTATGTAATAAATGGGCTTAATATAAAAAATCAGTTGCCGTTTGACCAAAATGTGATTCAAGCATTCACTGTCAATTTTGATCATCTATTTTTACTAACCAATACCAATATACCAAACATTAATAATGTTATATACTGTACTACTGTCCTTACACTTCCTGGTGGCACCCATTTACTTGATCATCTATTACTTCCTTATTCACTTCTATATTCTACTGCCCTCTGTTGCGGCTTGGAGGAATTCTCCTGTTGGTAACTTATACTAGAGATAAATACGAACAATTTATCCAAAATTCATTTTTGGAGCCAGGATAACACTAAGACCTTTCAAACGGGTTGTATTTCTCTGCCGTTATAACATTTAAGGGGTAGAATAAGTATTGCAATCACCCATTCCTTCTGGCCTGTTGCTAACCTTATGAGATAAAATGGCCACCTCTCATCTTTTTTATTGAGGTAAGTTGTGCCAGACAAAGAAGTAGCTATTCTGAGTGCAGCGGGTTTGACCAAACTAAATAAAACTTTTGAGTTGTTTCAGTGCAATTTGGTTATTTTTGTAGACCTGAATGTAGCTGTACTTGAAGATAGACTTGACAAAAGACAATTATAATGTACTCTTCAGGCAATGTTCTGAGCGACAGTAGGTTTAATTCACTGTTGCTTTTCGAGTTCATGCAGTAGACCAATCCTGTAGAGTAGACTTAACCACAATTTGTATTAATTTCTTAGTTTACTTTATGTATTATTGATAGTCAACAATTACTCATAACAATCCACTCTATTCGTGCACCCTTTTCACTCTTCTTGTTTGCAAGAGAAAGAACCTGTATCATTTCCTTATCTGGTACCAGGTACTTTTTCAGAACCTGCTTGGCCAAGCTTGTATTAAAGTGCTGAATGCCATGGTTAACAAGGAATTTCCCCAGATACTAGTTTGTTGTGGGTAGCTCGCAAGGCTATGGTACCAGATACGCAAGTGTAATGGAACCAGTTAGAGTAGAGCAGAGTAGAGTAGGGCCAAGCAGGACTTGTGGCTTTAGATAAATAGTTAAAGAAATGTTCACCGTTCCTGTAAAATTGTGTTAGAATTTGAGGATGAAATTTGTGCCATGTTTTTCAAGTAGCTTCATACTTTACTTACTTTTAGCGTGGTATTAAACTTAACAGTGCTTTCTCCATATCCCTTAGCTCAACAGCGAACAGGACCATTATAGCCTTATTATGTCCACTGCCCAGTATGAAAAGGCTCAAAGAGAAATGTGTCCGACTCACTTTGCAGAGCCCCATTTGACCTCATCTATAATTTAGAGCCGTCTGCCACTGTCCAGGGTGCTGCTCACAGATAAGGTTAAACACATTTATGATCGAACAAACCTGCTCAGTCAGTGCTAAGTAAGTTTTTGCTTTAAGTTTATGGAGTTTGGACACTTTCACTCTAACTTTATAATATTTTAATTTGTCTCTCTATGGGGCTGAAATGGATGCAGAACGCTTTTAGATGCGATTCAAATGACTTTTTGGTTGACTTTTAGAACAAAATTGAAGAAGCTATGAATTGCCCCATTCCATATGTATTTTATTTTTCTTTTGAAATAAAGGTCAACAACAGTTAATCTGTTTTTAAAAGCATATATGATTTATAAGACTCACAAGACTTAAGTGAACCAGATGCCCCGCAGAGTTGCCGCGTGCAACGTGGTGGGTGAGCCCTTTGTCACTTTTTACATTGGGATCACTTATACCTCATCCAAAACATATACATATTGATTTGCATTGTTTCTGTATAATGCAATTTGTCACTTTCGTTCTTGATTTTTTTCAATAAAAAAAATACAAATAATAACTAAGAAATGCTCATACCTGATATTCCAACACACTATCCTCCTGTGACGATAGAAAGTGAGCTACGGGTCAAATCACAATTTTCCTCCACTTTCAGTCCTAGGTCAATCCTGGTTTGGATCTTGGATATAGTAGTTTGTGTTTTCGAGTGTTTGAGTGTTTTTCTCCTCTCCCTGACCTTATTGTTTGACAGCAGAAATGTTGCCTCAGAAGTTTTGATCACCATTCAGGTCAATTGACATGCCGTGGTCACTACCCGCATAGACTTTCATGTAAACCCGAGGCAACGATTGGAGTGGTCAGAACGTGGCTTTAACAGCGCACTTAATCCACTGCTGGCTCCTGGAGGCGACAGTGTAAGCAGAGACTTCCAGACGTCCCTTGCATGCACACTTCCCTTTGCTTTCCCTGGTCAGACATAGTCCCTCCAGTGTGTCCTGGGTCTTTCCCGGGGTCTCCTCCGAGTGGGACATACTCTGAGGCTATATTTCTCTGCGATCATCGGGGTGCTGTTCTAAAGTTTTATTACAAATATTTAATTGGTTGTCAAACAAGAGAACACAAAGTATACAGTATGTGCTGCCATATGCTTTTTAACTTTTTAAGTTGATACATGAGTATTAGTTTTTGTCTAGAAAATATATTGTAGTTTGCATTTTGTCCACCCACTCTGTCTTGTACTGTTATCCCCAAAGCCCTTCAAATCCAGTCCGGAGGGGTCAAGGGTCGTTAAAATCCTCATATTAAAACTTGGCTAAGTAGAGATGGGGTGAGGGGGATTTCTGTGCCCAGCCTGTTGTTTTATTGTCTTGGCCTTTCTCAGCTGGAGTCCGTCTGTGTGGCTCTGTTCTCGTCTAATGGACAACATCTGCTGCCATCCGAGAACCAACTGTTTATTTAAGAAGGAGTGGGGCGGCATTTAGCGAAGGGTGGGGTGTTATCAAACCAGTGGCTATGGTTTTCTGTACTACTTGTTCCAGGACGTTGGAAAGAAGATCATGAACTTTTGATCTTGTAAAGCGCTTTGTGTGACATTGGTCTATGAGAAAAAGATTACATTAACTGTGAAAAATATGTACCATCCAACGTTGTGTACTTTATGCATTTAAAATCTCTTAAGCGATATCTACAACTTGAATGGTGTAACATCTGCTTTTAGTTCTGAAGTGCATTGGTACTTACTGTCTGCTATGCTATATATTGATATTAGGTCAAGCATTGCAGTATCCTCAATATGAAATATACAAAACAGACTCCTATTTCCTTATTTCAAATGGATATCCCGGTGTCTTTAACTGCTAAATAGTTTAGTAAATCCTAAATATATTCTCTTTTTTTCTCCCACAGGTTTGTCTGTAGTGTAGCCCAGGGCGTCTTCTGCAGTCATGTTCAGGAACAGCCTGAAGATGCTGTTGACTGGAGGCAAGGCCAACCGCAAGAGTCGCAGCAGTGGTGAGTGGGCACAAACCAAGCTTTTCATTGGCACAAAGTGATTACACATGGCTCTTTGATTAGAGACGACTGGGGCTTTGTTGAATTCTGCAATTGAAGATGCTTTTTTAGTTGTAAACGCAGATTTTGTATACAAATCTACTACAAAAATATGTCACAAATGGACATGAAGCTGAAATGTTCTACTTTAGTATTTTGTATGGTAAAGTCATTGTAGTGTCCAATAACAAAAAAATTAGATATATTTTTTACAAATATTTGACATTCTTGTCTCTTTCTGGTCTCCAATGAATGTCTACCAGAATGTTATTATTTTGTGATAATCGACAATACGGTTTAAAGATGGTTTGTTTAAAATGAGTTTCAAATGTGAACATAATTCTAGTGTCGCCTCCCTCCTGGAATCTGCAAAAGGGCTAATATTCATTACCGTGATCCATCTGCAACCCTCTTACCTGAGTGCAAAAGAAAATAGCTGCTATCTTCAGAAATCAGGATCTCGTTTCAGACATGGCGTGAAATGTGCTGTACTCTGATGTGCTTCTTCAGTGGTTGTGCCTCCTGCTGAGAAAAGCTGTCAGTTGTGTTTGGCTGATTAGCTTTGGTCATGCTCCGTCTCTGACATACTGTACTTATTGTTTCATTACACGTCGGCAGATGGGGCATTCGAAATGCTTTGGTCTTGCTCTGGAGCATGGCGGTTGCTGTGGTGATGGACTTCTTTTTGTTCTTTATCCTAATTACACAATAACTGTTCAGTAAGTAAGAAATTGATCCTAAACTCGCAGATTAGCAGACACTATTGGACTGTCTGTACAGAATCTCAGTTTGGTTCCTGCATGTTATTTTACTATGGATAAAAGTCAATGTCAACTTTTTGGTAACTTTTATTCCTGTATGGATTTTTTATTTGGTTTGGACCTGTCTGTGTGTGTTGTTTTGAAAGACAACCCTAACCCATGTCATTACAATCACACACAGAAAATGTGGCCTTTTCTGTAGGATACTCAACCATGTCAGTTGGATGAGAAACTTCTGACAAATGTGGGTACACTATTAACATAACACCATAACATTTATATGACATTATAACATGTTGTCCCTCTGATTCATGTAATTTTGCTTTGTGGAAATTTTGTTTGTTTGCAAAAGTGATTATCAGGTTTTACACACATTTTAGCTGGCAGGTTTCTTTCATCTATCCATCTACTCTTTCCACTTTAGTCACAAAAGAAGAATTTTTACCATCCACCCATATAATAAACTCAAAGTATATTTTTTTGTCAATAAAACCTTCAAAAAGTGCAATAGGTAAAAGGGGGTTTGTTGTGGTGTTGTTAATCCCAGCCATGAGCGTCTCTTTATTGTGCTTCTGTAAGTTACTTTCAAATGCAATAGGTTTTGGGGTTATTCCGGGGGCAGCATAATGAACTTTCTCTGCACCACTGGTCTTAATTATAGTGTACAATGCCACTTCGAAAGATGTTTTCTTGTATTGAATGTAAGTTTCTTTTTGGGAAGCTGGCAAACTGAACCTCTGTGGACCTCATTGAAGCAGACGTTATTATAATTAGCAGAGCTTTTCAAACGTTTTTGGCTCGAGTTTCGATGAAACATTATTGCTTACTGTGTGAAACAAGACACAGACTACTCTTTGACAGGTCAAAATGACACTCTTTAAACAAGCTACTTTTATAAATGAAGGTTTATTGCAATACTATCTCACTATTATCCAATGCTTTTCAGTTGCTATTTTCAGTTATTTTGGTATTTCTTGCATAACAGCAACAATTAGGCTCAGATAAATAAAATTATACATTTCAAATATAAATATTTAATAATAATTATAGGATAAAGCACTCACACACTCATAGCTTATTGGAAAATGTTTGAGGCAAGGGAATTTTTTTTACCAAAAGCTAGCAAAAAACCCCAACCGTTGAAGGCATGTAAATATTTAGCATGTTAAGCATCTTAATTTGATAATCTGTTCAATCTGTGTGTTACTATGGTGACGCATCAGGCAACTTGGTATAGAACCTGTGATTTTACGTAATATTTATAAAGTTTGTATTGGAATCCTCACTGACCACGGTATAATCAACAATAACAGGCATCTTTTACTTGGCAAGAAAGCTACAGTATGTATATTTTTAGAACTTGGCAAGGACTAAAACGTACCCTATATGTACTTGAAATGATAGTTGATGTTCTTGTATATGTCTATGTATAAGTGCCTTGTCCAAACCGTGCTCTACTTGCCAAACCCTCTGGTGGTTTTCTGCTAATGTCATTTGGCAGACGGCCTTCCTACTCTTTTCCGAGCACAGCCACACTTCTGTCCAGTCCACAGAGACGCTCGTATCTGCTCAGAGCTGTAGGACACATGCAAACCACTTTATCTACGCTTATTACAAACTTGTTTGAAGAAGATGGATATACAAAGAGGACCGACTGTGTTTAATCCAAGGACAAGCGAAGGACTAGCAGCAGCAGTGTTTTATCAGTGTGTAACAGACAGACGGAATAGGCCTTAGATTGATAGGTGGACTCAAAACCCAAATGTTCTGGGCTTAAATGTCTGATTATGGGATAAGATTGAATGCAGGGCGTGTTTTGTGATGTATAGGGGACAGACGTGACAAAACAAAACTATTGCACAAACGTAGAACCAACATTGAGTCAATACTCTCTAGGGCTGCAGATGACAAATACAATGAATACATCATGATCGTAGGTTACTAAAAGTTACTAAAATCGGCCACAGCTAACCAATTATTCATAAGTAACTGAAGTAAACATCTTTTTTAATCTGCATAGTTACCAAACAATAACAAACTTATATTGATTAGATAGTATTTTTGGACTGCATGTTTTGTCACCGCAAAATTTGATAAAGTAGGTTTTTGATGGAGTTATATATAAATGAAGAGTCCTGTTATTAAAATAAAAACTTACCTTAACCAATCAAGCATCACATTGTTTAAGCACATAGACAGGAATTAGGACTGTGTTAAGTTGCGAGTTGGTAAATGGTCATATTTATCTTGCACCTTTCAAAGACACTCAAAGTGCTTTACTGTACATCAAGGAACCAATCACTTATTCACAGACACTGGGGACAAGGAGGGTCAAGTGCTTTGCCCAAGGATACACAGCACAGCAGCAATCAGCAATGGGAGCTACTTTCACATCTGACAACCTGCGCATCAGTCAATATGACCCAACTTCGAACCACCAACCTTCAACTAGGAAAACACATACCCATAGTCTGAACACACAGTCACTGCCACATTGAAAACTTAAGGGTATTAGTGTTTGATCGGATTGATTTTTATCGATTGTAAAAAAAAAAGGGTGTATTTTTTCTTTTGTAACAGCACTCATCCTGCAGATAAATATTGTCCATGATGTTAGAATGATTTTGACCATGGCCATGTGTTCGGCTCACTGATGGGGATGTGCGCTGTAATCTGTAGACTTCAGATGAGCCAAGCCGCGCCTTGATCTGCACTGGCCGAGTGCAGGTCCCAAGATGCTAAGCTTTTGAATGGCATTTTCAAAATTGAATAACACAGATGAGCTCGGCCTGACTCAAGTGAATTGAACAGATCTTGATGCAACACTGGCAGGAAATTGGGTGTTATCTGGCGGGACACTACATTGGTTGTTTTGTGCCAGGACGCTATCATCTATGCTTCACACTCTCTCTTTGTATCACGCCGCATTACTTCAGACAGGTATTCAGCCTCTGACCAAACTCCGATAAAGCCCATTGAATCACGGATGGACGCCATTTGTTTACAAGTTATCACTGACCAATGATGCTCGGTAGTGGATTGCGAAAGGATTTGTCTGCATGCTATAACAGTATAGCTTACAAAACCTGACTCATTGACTGATTATTTTTGGCACTATTTGTCTGAATAACAACTTTTCCGTCGAAAGGTCGTATGTTTCCTGTATAACTATGCGTTTGGGGATCAATTATCCACTGAATGTTTCATTAAGATGCAGCGCAGACGGGCACAGGTTGTTTACACAAATCTCAGCTCTGCAGCCCTCTGCTTCTGTCACTGACCGGAGCCTCAGGAGAGGTGGGCCTGTCATGCATTCTCAAACAGTCAAATGGAGGCACGTATTACAGCCGGAGGTGCAAATGTGTCAAGATAATTAAACCAAATGACCAAAGGAGTAAATGCTGTCAGTAGTAAATAAAACTAGACGACACAGTCTAACAATATGAACGTTAGATTGTTTATGGAAAATAGATCACAGTACATTGTCGAATCAAGTGAATTGTCAGTAACTGAAACATGTGAGGAGATTTTATCTGGAAGCAGGTGGCTGTTACATTATGAATACAAAAACGTTACCTTATGTTAGCTGCTTATCTTAGCGGTTTGTCAGGACTAGGTTGAGACGCTGGAAACCGTGCAACAGATTCCCACTAAAGTTTGATGGAGTAAATGCAAAGTCCATAAACATTTGATTTGTACAATATATGACAGAAATAGCTTGGGGAACTCAGAAGACTGCCGTCCAGAGCCCTGCACTGGTGAGAGCAGCAACATGAGTGACATTTCTCTGGTAGGAGTGATGTCTCTGTTGTTGCCACACCATGAACGCAAAATACGTATTTTTCTAGATGCAGTATGTGGACCTGGGAAATGGCAGGCAACAGAAAACCCTGGATTTCCTTTAGCTGCTATTCACTTAAATTACGACACAGCAAATTACTTGGCAAGTTCCCCCGGGCGTGTGTTTATGTGAATGGGACTTCCAATCGGACTTTAAATCCAATCTGTTTAAAGCATCTATCCCTTCACATTTCTTGAATAGTTTAGTCCTTGAGCAACAGCCGTAGTCCATTTAAAATGTAAAAAAAAAATGTTATTAAAACCTAGTTAATTATTATTGTCAGTGCATTATTTTTCAGTAAATTACATAAATGTAGCAGAGCACAAGAGAAGCTATTTTTGAAATATGCACAGATAACA